GAGTCATCTCCGACGAGCCGGAGGCGTTGCCGATGCTCTGCGCAGTTTGCAGGAGAAAGGCAGGTTTGGAAACACCTGGGAACATTAGACTACACAGCGCAGATGCACACCGCATTGCTATAGAGGGACCCGCAGCCATAACGGCAGGACCTCTAGGGAGAGAAAGAGAGACCAAAGTACAAGTACGTGTGTGACCTTGATAACCATCTGCGAAAGGCTCACAGGCTGATAATACTTCCATTTAAAAGGATCATTTGAATGAGAAGCTGTAGGTATAGCAACACGCCTCCATTTCTAAAGATGACAAACTGTGCCTTCAGATAATTTTAAAAGTCAAATGTCCTTACAGAGAGTTTGTTGATCTGAAATAAGTTGCTATATGGAACTGTATTCACTTCGGTGTTCTCTGTCCCATGCTGGCACATTGGGAGGACAAGCAGAGGCAGCTTAATTGAGGCTTCTCCACAGCACTTTGTCTCTTGCGTGTGTCCTGTCGTGTCCCCCCCTGCCCCCAGTGCCTGTCTCAAAACATTCTGCCATACCTTTTTAAGACAGAACTTCTCTTTCTTGTAAAGTCAGTTAGTAAGGTTTTGGGTTTTTTATTATGAATGAGGCCTGCTCGAAGGGTTAAATACAGACGGTATAATCTGAATCTTTGATTCACTTTTCATCCAAATTGCAATTTGCCTTTAGGGTTCAAGCAAATGACTGTTTTAAGAGTGGTGCAATTTTATGAACATGGCACTAGAGGGCCTTTGATGGCTCAGGGTTAGAAACAGCATCAAACTAACACAGTAGAATAAAAATACAAGATTTACAATCTGTGTTTACATTATATAATCCCTTTCCGAGCCTCGGTGACTGTGTTAATTTTTAATTGCTTGACTGCTGGGTCCTTCCCCTCTGGCATTTCTGATGTTTCGATGGGAAATTCTTTAAACAGTTCAGCAGAGATGGTTGCAAATGTTTTAGTATTTAGTTGTGCTTGCCACAGAAAATGCATAAACATTCAATTCTATTGCTTGCAGGCTCTAAGATAGGTTTTAAAATTCCTCAGTCATATTTGCCTTTGCTCCCAAGTCACGACAGGTAACGGAATCTAACGGGTTATTTGGCTCAGACCAAAACCATGTTAGGGACTGCCGAGTAGTTTAACGATGCTGGAGTGACGGCACTCCAGCACCAGAGAGCACGCCCCTGCCTTTGACAAACAGTCTAGGATTTCTGCTTCAGTTCAAGAGTTCCACTGGCCTCCTGGTCCCAGGCTCAAAACCCCACCCCAACCAGCAGAATATATTTTGGTTCATCTAAAATGCAAATTAGGTACAAGAAAACAGGGTAGATCATCTTAATATGAAGGAAATACTTTTGAACTGAATGCCATTTACCTGAGTTCCACTAAAAACCAGACAGACTTTAATGAGATAAGTTTGGACAGCAAACACAAAGCCACAGAAGCCAATCACCAGGAAATCTTGACCAACATCTGCACTCTTTCTCTCAAATTCCCTCCAGATCAAGGATAAGAAAGGATGCGAAATATCTTTGGTATCTTTAATACCTTTGGCCAGGTTAAATCCTTCCCACTCAGTTCAAAAAGACAAGAACAAATCTAAGGTCTAATATTGCCAGTTAGGTTTGACAGAAATTTTACATACAAAAACCTGTTTCTGTAGGAAAAACATCAGAGTGATATTTTACCACATCAAAATTTGACAGCATCAAAAAGCTTCAACTATTTTAAAGTAATAGTTAGGGGGTTTTGTTATTGTGTTTGTGGTTTGGGTTTTTTGGTTTTTTTTTGTTTGTTTGTTTGTTTTGTTGTTTTTTTTTTTTCCCTTTGTCACTCTTGGAAATCTTTGTTTCCAGAAAATAACATTTTTAACAAAGCGGTGGGTTGGGTTTTTTTGTTGTTTTAGGTTTTTTTTAATAGACATGTTATAAACTTTTAATTAAAAATGTTATGAATAACTTCCCCCAAACAATCCAAGAGAAAATTTAGCTTATTTTAAAGCCTGCAGAATAGTACAATAAAAATAAATGTTCGCAAAGCTCTTTTCCTCATCTTCAACTACTCCACCAGTAACTTTGGGCTGGCTTTTTTATAGCACAACTTATTTCATCCAACTAAAACCAGTAGTCAGGTGAATTCAGATAAAAAACATTTTGAGGTAGTTGTCAGCCAGCGCAGGCCATGGCCTCAAGGAGGAAAACGGCAGCCCTCAGGTGGCAGGGCCTCTCCGTGCAACCTTGCCTTTTCCCTCCTCCCTTCAGGATAAGGCGTTCCTCCGTCGGTGCTGGAAGACGCGATCGGTATTTCAGACTCAGACAATCCCTTCCGGGCACTAACATCGCAGGGTTTGACAGCTCCTGGGGAGACGCTTCCCTCGACGTTCCTCGAGCTGGGGGGAAGGCGGCAGGCGGCGGTGGGGTCAGGATGCCTGCCCGCCCGTATCGCGAGCAAACCCCGGGGCACTTTCCATGCATTAGCCCGGCATGTTTTGAATGCGCTGAACTCCTGTTGATAGTTGATTTCGTTACTGCTGCTTAATTAATACAGCCTAAAAAGTGGCACGGATAGACCTCAGCCTTGAGCGGGGCCATCATCCTGGGACAGAGGGGCCTGGGAAACGTGAGCCATATACTACTAGGATATTTTAATTACACTGACAAAATAATCGGACTACTGTCTACCGGGGCTCACACTCACCGGGCGATACAGGCTCTGGGTTCCCTGGAGATCCCTTGGAGCCCAGCAGCTGAACACCTTTGCAGTTCTGTGCCACAGAGCAGGGACACAGCCCTTCAGTGAAACATATCTCAGTTCATCCTATTTGGAAGCTGGGCGATAGAAAAAAAGGCCACCAAAACACAAAGAATTCCATATTCTCATGTGACTAATGAACCGGCAAGCCCTGAGCTCTGCTGACTGCAGGAGACGGAACGAAAAAGACAGAGAGAGCACAGATCAGACGGTCACAACACCGCCGGCAAAGTGAAAAGCAACCAGAGAACCCCAGGTAACAGCCATTATTTCCAGGAGGCATTTGCTCAAATGGTAAATTTTCAGCAAGTCACTGAAGTCATATTTGACATAACTGCATGCGAAGGACATCTTAACAAAGCTGGAAAAATAAATCTCTTTAGAAATCTTTAAAAGCAATGAAGGAACGACCAGGCTAAGAGCAGTTTAACAGCACATAAACCATCATCGTTTTAAGATTAGTTATTCCTGGGAGAACTCACGTAACCTTTTAACAACCTAGGAATAAGAAGCCTACGCAAACCTGAGTCTCCGAAGACTTTCTGGAAATAAGCTTTTTTTCCACTGTCTACATAGACTCAAGTTCAGGAACAGATGCAACCAAAACCAATGTTTTTGGTTTTGTGGTTTTGGGGTATTTTTTTAAGCTAGAAGTAATTATTTACACCCTTATGATTATTCCTCCCTTCAGAGCATGCTAATAGATTTGAAAGGCTGAGCTCTCTGGTACAAAAATCTTATTTCTCTTCATCCCACTATATAATTTTTGCCCATATATTGCTAGATATCTTTAGTAGTTTTCCTTCATTCTTTAGTAGTTTTCCTTCATTTCCCTTGCAGTAGTCAGTTACTGATTTGTTGCTCCCTGCACATCTTTTGGAGCCTTTTTTTTTTTTTTTTAAAATGTCTTCACATTTCTCATCTTCTGAGGCTGAATGACAGACTACATGCCTCAGTAAGTTTGGCAATTCATAATTTGAAATAGTTTAGAATTCTTGGGTAAAGACCTGCTGCCCCTGGTGTACTGCACACCGTTTAACAGCCGCCTCTGACAACACTGAGCTGAGAACATTCCTGATTCACCCCTGTAAAGAGACTACCATAGGGAAACCTTCAGAGTGATCCTGCAGTTAAAATTAACGTCAAGAATTCACTTAATATTTTCTGCTATGGGCTGATCTTCCCTGATTGTTCTGTAGAATCCTTCTCTGGCTCTCACTCCCTTAGCTCACTTCGATTCCAGCCCTCAGTCCTAGAAGAGACACCAGCTTTCTTCATGACAGAAGCATCACCACCTTGTGATAGGAAATCATCTCCAGGATATTCAAGTTTCAAAACTTTTTTTTCTTCTACATTTTAATTTATTTAATAGGCAAGATCTGTGGATGTTTAGTATAGGCTTAGTACTAAAGCCTGTACTATGAGAAACCTTTGATAAAGAAGAATTCTGCAGTTAAATCCCTGAAAACATGGAAGACGACTAGAAAATAAACCGAGGAGCAAGTCCTCCCTCTAAACCAGGAAAACACTTTAAATACAGCAGAGACCTATCCTTGTTTGTATCCATGTGTTTTTATGTCAGGAAAACACTATCAACCTAAATACTAACTATGCTTTCTGTCATGATCCAGAAGCTACTGCAGCTGCTGCCTGCTTTTAACAAACCTCAAGTTTCTCTGTTGCTTGAAGCTGTCTGTTTATATTTTGGCTTTCCTGGGGATATTTGACAAACAGTGTCAGAAGCACTGACAAAAAAAAATGGGCAGTTTGCTTGCACCTCTTGGGAGAAGTTAGCAAAAACGAGCCTGCAGAAGTTCAGCAGAAGTCAGATATACTACCTGTAGAGGAGTTTTCAGGGATGTTGCTTATTTGCTTGTAGCTTGCTTTTTTTTTTTTTTAAACTGTTGCGCTTTGGTAAGTTAAGAACATATTCTAACTGTGAGACAGGATCAGCTCAGACACTCAGCTTGCCTGGTCACCTGTTTCAGATCTGACAGCACAGAGGGGGATTACGAGAACCTTTCCATGAGATTCATCTACTGAGCAGGGGAAAAAGGGTCTAAAAGAAGCAGCCACTAGGGAAAACCATGGCTCCGGCCGCCTCCATTCCTGTACTGAGCTGCCATCGGGATCCCACTAATGAAGGCAATTTGCCATTTTCAGAACTCTGCATTGGCAGTCATTTTGTTTCAAAGTTGGCCACTGAAGTAGATGAGATCACGAACTACAGGCTTACCTTAGGGAGTCTGTACTTTTCTCTCAGATGAACCCTCAGACAGGCTCGCTCTGCTTTTTTCTGTGCAAATGCTGCATCTCTTTCCATCCTGGAAATCAGAAAAAATGCTTCTTCAAGATACTAATAAAATACTTATTTCCTCTTTCTCTCTCTTTTTTTTTTTTTTTTTTTTTAAACACTGAACCAGTTGCTTGGCTGCAAAAAGCTACAGGAGCCCTGTCTCAGAAGGGATGCGAAGGGGCCAGAACCCCTGTACCCCAAGCTTGTTCTCAAACTGTTCCCTTGAGCCCTGTGGAGAATGAAGGACAAGCCAATACTATTTGTCTGGAGTTTGTACCTGAACGAGCTGTTATTGCTCACTGTAACAATGAACAATTCCAGTAAGTGGAACGGAAAAGTTACGCTTATTCCTTGCTTATTCCACTGGGGCACTGACAGAGCCGCGGCTGCCTGCCAATGCTCCTGCTCTACAAACATGGCACTCTCACAGCACACCACCACACACACACAATGGCAGAATGGTCTTTCTGGGTCAGAACAAAAGTTCACCTATCCCGGAGTCCCACCTCTCACAGTAGTGAACACTTAAAGAAAGACTTTCTCTTTAAAAAAAAAAAAAAAAAGGCTCATGTTAACTTGAAGTCATTTTAAAGTTCTTTCATCCAGTCATTGATGGGAAGATTGGAAAGAGGTTTTTTTTTTTTTTGGAGCCCTTCCGGCATATTTTTCCCTCTCTTCCTCACCCTCCCTCTTCTATTGCCCACTCCTCCTCCGAGGAGCCATTAGCAGCCATGGCCAGTACTGGGATGTGTTCCCACGGGGCAGTGTGCGCAGCGCTCCTGCACACCCCTTCAGGTGCCCTGTGAGGCGAGGGGCAGGAGGGGATTTTCTCCTCCGGTACATGTGAGCTTTTCACTTGTCCTGGTGTCACGGGAAGAGCTGGCAAAACTCACTCGCTCAGTCTCCCGCCATCGCCTGGGCCCTTGCGTCTGGCCTAATCTTACACCTTTTTGTTCTGGAGGATCTAATTATTCCCTGGAACATGAAGCTTTGTAGGAAGAGGACCCGGGTGTAAGAGTAGCTGCATGACAGCCAAGAACCTGTGATGTGCAGCACAACCGGGTGGTCCCTGGTGGTCCCTTCGTGCTTGAACACTCATGATGCTGGAAGCAAATTCTGCATGACCGTGCTGGAGACCGCCAGCACAAGCCACCTGTGTGGTCCTGCCTATGACACATTTTCTTCAGAAACAGCAACCTGTGCGTTTCTGTGGGATTAATCACAAAGAAACCCACCCCAAAATTCCAAACACAAAACTTGAGAGGAACCCAGAGCCAGGACGGTCATGCATCAAAGGCCAAACTCTGCCTGCGCATGACTCCAGCACGGCACTTGTGCTTCCATCTCCACCCCTGTACAGCTGAAAACGGGGTAAAATCCAGAGCCCTGAAACGGATGCTCTGACTGTGAGAAAGATTTCTGACACACATTCACATAACCACACCAGTGTGCACTGTCCTGGGCTGATGTTTTCTCATTGAAAGTACTTCAGATGTTCCTATCGTAGTACCAAACTCTCCTTTCAGAAGTACTCCTGCACTGATTCCTCAATACACTTCAGCACATAACAGACGTGCCACACTTGAAAACATTATAGAAATAATTCTTTTTCTGAGTATTTTCCCTATCCCAGCAATCCCGTTTTGCTTCTCAGCCTCCATAAAGCATCCTCCTGCCAGCAGGTGGTTACTTCTCTTTTAAACATCCCTTAACAAAATGCACAGCGAAACGTTCTGTATTTTATTCCAAACCAAATGATACCTACTCAAGGTTTTATGATAGAAATGGCTGCTGCTAAATACAGACCTGGATACCTCAAATTCCGTCAGTCATTAACCTTTCACCCATAATCATCTTACATGAAGGATTTACACAACCATTATGTAATTGACCATTAGAGGAACAGATGCATTTGAGATTTAAAAGTCAACTGGTTTATTTATAATTATGCATGATTTGAACTCCTACACATTGTTTATTTTACTTCTGTTTTGATACTTAAACACAGCAAGTGGTGAAGATTATAGTTACAGACAAAATAAAGTTGAGGTTTAATCAGTTTAGAAGTTCTGCTTTATTTAGATTTTAGAAAAAAATAACTAAAAATGCAACTACAAAAAATCTTAAAACTTTTCTCTAGATAAATATAATCCATTTAACATAGCACTCATTACTTTTTCATGTCTGCCATAATAAATGTGGACAAATAAAAGATCATGTATTGAAAGTGTACTCCACATGGAGTTCTTGGAGAACAAATCATGCACATTTTAGAATTAACTCCTGCACTACAAACAGCTTTGTACCTACAGAAAAAATTGATAGATAAAGTAACATCAACTAGGAATGAATCCAGCATATCCAGGTGTGGAGATATCAGGAAAGTGTAGGGGAGAGTTGCGGGGGGGACACGACATAACATTTTATCATTTGCAGTTGGTGAACGTTTATTTTGGAAAGTCTCTTTAGCAAAGACTCGTCTGCTTTAAAAAAAAAAAAAAAGGGAAGAGAGATGAATGTTTGGCTTTTTCTTGGGTTATTTTTATCTGCACAAAGTTACCAAGAATCAACCCCATACCGATAACAAGGGAACAGGTACTCACTTCTCCTCAACCATTTGCTTTTGATATTCCTCATACTCCTCTCTGGTCATTCCTGCAGCTGCTGCTGGATCAGAAGGAGTGCTTTCTTCTTTGCTTTCTTCCCCTCCACCTCCAAGTCCCAAATTCTTTACCTGGTTGCTCAACATACTTTTCATTAGAAAGGCCATCTTCTCAAGAAAAAAGAAGCTATGAGAAAACAACTATGAGAAAGCCAAACCAAACCAAAACCGTTCTCAAAACCAACAATTGTAAGCAAGAGAGTTTCTACAGCCACATCAGCTCCTCAAGGGCACAATGCTAGTGAAACGTGAATGCCAAAACCAGTTTGTCAGCCATAATCTGGATTAAAGAGTGAACTCCTTAATATCTAGAGGCAGATGGTTCAGATTACTCAAAAAAAAAAAAAAATCATTAGATGCAGCTACCTACTTTTTATATTAATACCTTAAGCTAATTTTACACACACACAAAAATCAATAATAGTGTGCAATAGCATTTTGACTTCTTCAGTCTTGAAACTCTCACTTTTACAGAGATGAAAACATTCCCCAGACCACAACAGATCTGAATTAAAAACCTGGTTGACTAAACGGCCATAGTAAAGTTATAAAATTTGGGCTACTGAGCAGAAAATTCCTTTGGATTTACACAATCAAATGATATTTGAAAACTGGAATTCTTCATTAAGCAAAACACCCAATCTTTTTTATCTGTTCTATTTTATCACACTGGACAAAAAGTATATTGAATTATTTTCCTTCATCCACTTTTCACATGGCTGGTTTGTCTCACAGATGAATGGGGCATTACTTTTTTTTTTTTTTTATTTTCCCCAAGAAAGTAATCACAAAAAAAGCAAATGGCATTTTCCAACTCTTCATTCCTTAATGTTTATTTCAGCTCTTCCCCAGGCTGTGTCCAGGCAGATCACCACTTTGACTGGTGCTGCACAGAATACCTACTGTTTGTATTCTCACCTGTCAGTAACGGACAAACGAATCTGATTCTATATGCTATAACACAGCTTTGATACCTTCTGTTCGTGGATTGCCTGTGTAGGGCCCCCTCTTTCACACTTTTACTCCCGTCATTAGCCCCACCAGCTCTATTCAGGTGAAGATTTGCAGGATCTGCTACCTAGATCATAGACTATTTTGGGAAAGAAAATAATCTGCTAGGTCTCAAAAGTTCATGACTGGGGGGCTTGAGCATTTATCCTGCTATGACTGACGGTGCGTGCCTTAATGAAACATGCTGTAATTTTGATTATCTAAATGGTTCTCCCAACACTCTCATAATTTCACTGAGAGATGGGAGGATTCCAGTTTGCCTAATGCCTTAATCTGTATTAGAGCCTTTCTAATTAAAGCAGACCTGTTACTATTTTAAAAAAAAAAAAAAAAAAAGCAGGAGGTTCTGTAATCCTGGATTATTAGTGATTAAACAAGAAATTTTAAATTTCTTTTCAAAACAGAGTATCACACAGAAGCATAAATTCCAAATCACAACAAAACTACACTGATACACTACAAATACCCAGAAAGCATTTTTCTTAAATCAACATGGATTTTTACAATCACTGTGTGCTTTCAGATCTATGCATAAGTTGCAAGAATTTGGGGGAAGAATCAACTGTTTACATCTGACCAACTCTGACCTCGACTACCAAAACTCTACTGTACTTGCCCAAACGGCTAACAGAACGGGGATCATAAATTTGGATTAGCTGTCTAACATTTAAGCAGAGAATGCTAAACTTGAGCATGCATTAGTCTGAAGTTGAATGCATAAAATTAAAGAGAATTTGTTATCTGGCAAAGTTTAAAAGCTAAAACTCCAGCACTAGGTTTATAGACAAGGTATCCCGGCTCCTGCCCCGGGGGTTACTCCACAAGGGGCCCGGCAAAGCCAGCCGGACGCTGTCACACACAAAGGCCTCCCTGGTTCGCTACAGGAGAAGTTTAAGATCAGATAAATGCAACTTCTGATTGTTCACGTTTTCGCTGTGCTTTGACAGCCACCCGATTAAACCTTAGCATGCTGTCCCACACCATCGCTCCTCAGCACCAAACGCCCCTCCAGCCCACCTGCAGCGGTTGCCTCATCTTTACCGAAAATTCTCCTGACAGGAACAGGGAGCGCCAGTGCGTCTGCGCCGCGCACTTCCCAAATGCAACATGCAGCGCTGTTCTCTCCAGTACCAGGTCTCATAGTCTTCTCAAAGCGTGTTTGAAGTTTATCTGTTAAACCCCATGCTATTGGTCTTCACTGAAGAGAAGCATCCCTAACTTTGGGTATAAGCCTTGGCTGTAGGCTTTGATCCCTACAGAAGCACTGCTACCACCACCCTCTGCCTACAGGAGATGCTTTCACCGAATGGACCGAGAAGGGAAGAAAGCTGAAAACTGGCTCAGGAAGGGATTGCCGAGAACCCGAGACATCTTGAACTCCAGGTCTCGAGAGAGGTCTCACGAACCTTCCTAACAGCAAAAGGCTTTCTAATGTCAGATTCAAAATCGAACACGACTAAGAGTGCTGTAAAAGCTATTGGCCATATTGGCACTGGAAACTGCTGGGAAACACCAGAGAGACTTGTGAGGAAACTTCAGTAGACACAACACAGCCAGCGAGTGAACTGCTCGCTTTGTTGCGGTTTAGGCATTTGTCACCAATCTGTGTATACAAATAATGAACAGACTGATGAGGAACCAATTGCTTACAGGGTACCTAAAGCATCAAGTTTTAAGCACCTACCTTGGGTGTCAACAGGGACCAGTACCTCCAGAGTAATTCCCATTCCTGACAGGCGCGTTAACTACCGCCTATATTGAAGTTAAAAAACACTTACCACTGTTTGTTGATTACAGGGATCACAGGCTTAATGAAAACATGCAGACAGCTGCTAATTTAAGTACTCCTGTTGCCACTCACTTTGCTTGAAATCAACATCCTTTCCCTCTAGTTCACGTGAAATCAAAATTAAAGGCTCAGTTCCTGCTTTGTCTGATGGAGCTGGGCGATACGAAAAAAGCCTGTGCTCCAAACCTGAAGAAGGTGGGCACCTCCAGCCCCCGGGTAGAACTCAGTCTCAAAAAAGGCACATCACACAGAGCAAAAATCTAAAAGGCTCGCAGAGACACCAGCACAAAAACGCTACAGGCAGGCAAGCATCCAAACTCCATCCTTTTCTAGAGACTACGTACCCAAAACACAGTCACAGCAACAACTCCAGCCACCTAACTGCAAAGCATCTCAGTGTTCTCCGAGAGGCCCAAGACTGCCCCCCTCCCTCCCCATCCATCTAGAAGAGGTGGTCCCCTTTTATGTGAGTCGGAACATTACATCACTTGCACAGAAGGAGAGAAATAAATATTTTAGGGCTTTCTTCACCTCTTAGAGAAATTGCTCCTGGCTGGGGGAAAATGATGGGCAATGAGGGAATTCTTGCTCTTCCTGCGGGAGGTTACCACAGACACACACAGCTTACTTGACAGAACAGTAAAAACAAAACAAACACCACAAAATACCCAAGGAGATGCAGCCTGACTTGTTCTGGGTAGGCACGTTGTATTCCAACAAACAGGAGCAGAGCACCCGGGGGTTCGGGGAATCTGGAGGAAGAACTTCAGAGATACAGGCTATCTTCAGCTCACAAAAAGGAGCTACTTTGGATACTCCCATCAGCCAGCAAGCAACTCGGTTTGCTGTTAAGAGACTTAGAAGTTGACATACTACTTTACGATTGACCCCAAGTGTCTGATACTTATGGCAAGGCTGATACTCTTAACACAAGATTTTGAGCGAATCTCTTACTTTTAGGTTAGTCACTCTTGCCTTAGACTGCGACACGGGGGATATAATCCCTCTGCACAGAATGAGCCGAGGCCGGATTCAGCATATCCTGCTGATCAACGGCGCTCATCTGCCTCCGACACAGGCGGACCCTCAACCCCTTAATGCCGTTAACTCTCCGGTACCAGGTAGGACTGAACCCAAAACCGTTCAAACTCTCTGAACAACAAAGGTTAACAAATGCTTCAAACACACTTGCTTGGATTTCATGGACATGTACCAAATTAAAAGAAAAAAGCTTACTAAAAATATGCATCTTTATTCAAATAAGGTTATCTCTGAACTCCAAGTGTCAATTTACATTAGTCAGAAACAAACATATGAAAATGTCAGCTGTTTGAATTTAAAAAAAACAGTAGACAGTCTTCGGTGTTACAGTAATTGATGCATTGATAAATGTCAAATTTTCTTCAAACAAGAAGTTAGGTAATTTATAAACCACATTGTGAATTTCACTTTTGAAAGACTCAGGTGAGACGATGTATTTAATAAACCCTGACCAGTACAATGAGATTCTTTTGTCACTGCGAAATATTTGCTACTTATCGTCCACACTTCAAATACAACGATTAGACTTGTGTGTCGTTCCCCCCCCCGCCCCAATATTGTCAAACCGTATTCCAAGATGTCTTCTCCTCCTAGTCCGGGAATCTTACTTGATAAGAACCAAACCCACTACCAGTGTTGAAAAACTTCTAGTAGCCAGCTGTAACAGGAGGCTACATTGAATGACAAATATTCTTAAAGTCCAAATTTGTCGCTATCACTTCAAGAACAGAGAGGACAAAATTTGAGGTGGGCAATTGGGAGCTTTCCGTTGATCCAGTAAGTGAGGAGGCAATTATGGAAGTTCCAAGGAGAGACGACTGTGAAATGAAGCATGAAGCAGAGTTATCACTTTTTGGATGGTACGCTTTAGACCACCTGCTCCCTAATACAAAAGTTCTCCAGTTGCACGTGGGAGGTACGTCAGATCTACCAACAGCACAAACACACAAGCTGAGCCTCATACCGAACAGACAACTGTAGGTTCAAGTTTGCCCCTAGACCCCATCCCCAGCCTTCTTTTTCTGACAAAACCCACAAAGTATGGGCTGCTCCAGCTTTAAAACATACTTATGGTTGGACAAATTCACAGTAACCAAAAATACAGCCTTCCTCCAATGGATAGACGAGAGCTGTTCCCCCTTACGCCAGACGCACCTACTTGCCAGAAGGCAACTGAACCTACAAAGGGTCTCGCAAAGCCTGCTGCGCCAGAGGCAGCTGCGCTCAAGCGTTGCACTCCTGCAGGAAGGCTTGCAGCTGGAAGGAA